GTGGGTGGAGGATTATGGCTTTTTTTTTTAATGGTTGAACTGGATGGACTTTTGTCTTTTTCAGCCAGACTAACTATGTAACTATGTAACGATGTAACGATGTGACTTCACTTTTAGAATACTTTCTAGGTCATGTTTGTGTTTTTTAATTGTCTCCGACGTCCGCGCGCCTCCTGTACAGCGTTCTCGGTGCCACGGAGAGCCACGCTTTGTGGCGTTGCGGGATTTGTTCCTTTCATCGGTCAGACTAAAGCCACGTACATGTATGGAGGTCGTGGCTTCTGACCCGGCCGGGCTGCCGGAATCTCTCTATATTTGTGTAAATCTGCGAAGGTTCCTCGGCGTGATTTGTACAGGAAGAACCTGAAGGGAAACGCAAAGGCTGAGAATTCCGGAAATGTCAGTAAGACGTCATTGGTTGAATGATTCAGGTGCTGCTATGGGGATGGAGATACAGAAAATGTCGGGTGCCGAGGACCCAGGATATCAGTCCCAGAGAGCCGGCACCCACCCGCTGCTCAGGACGAGGTTCCCCATTGACACAACACTGAGCCCCGTCATCAGACCATCCTTGACATAAAATTGATCCATTTCCGCTCTCGGAGTATTTTGTGTCGTAATCTCTGAGGACGTTCTCTGCACCTTGTGTGTTGTCCGTCCTGCACCTCTCTGTGTAGAAGAAGTCATTGCGGTTGGTGGAAAGTTCCTCCGTAGGATCGGACATTTCCCCAGTCTGTGAAGCAATGTGGCACAGTCTGGGAATAGCTTCAGATGAGTTCCCGAGGAGCCGTAGCGGGTTCTTGAATACAAATGGCAGTTAGCAGTGCGGCCATTGTTCTCTGACAGATTATAGGATCACCTTCCTTTGGGTGGCCTTGTCACCTTACTGGAAGTACCAACCTGTTACCAGCAAAGAAGAAACCGAATACCTACCTCTCCTGAATCCCAGTGAATTCCCGGCTGTGACTTTGGGAGTGTCAGTCAGATTCCTGGTCCCCCCCCCCCTTGGTGCACTCAGGGGTTCCTCCTGATAACCCCCACTGTGACTTCTACTCTGTGAAAGGAGCCGCAGATTTCCATTGATGTCTTTCTAAAGCTGCCTATGTTATGACTATATACTATATTCGCTCTGTGGGTGGCCCTGTTGACACTCGTCTGCTTGAAGTCGTCTAGTTGAAGAATAGAAGGATCCTTCTCCATCCCATCCCCCGTTCTCACTAAACCCCAATTTAAATTAGCTACATATTTATTACCAGCTGCTAAACAAACCAACGCAACAGCCGGGACGGAGCAATTCACACAAATTGTCAGGAAACGCGTAGATGCAATCTGTATTCACAAGAAACGTACTGATGTCCACCTGGACACTCACAGAGTATTTGGTGTTGTATCGCATACTATCCCTCCATCTCTCTCTCCTCCTCTCCCTCCATCTCTCTGTGTCTCCTCCGCTCCCTCCATCTCTCTCTCCTCTCCCTCCATCTCTCCTCTCTCCATCTCTCTCCTCCTTTCCCTCCATCTCTCTCTTCTCCTTTCCCTCCATCTCTCTCTCCTCCTCTCCCTCCATCTCACTCTCCTCCTCTCCCTCCATCTCTCTCTCCTCCTCTCCCTCCATCTCTCCCTCTATCCTCCTCTCCCTCCATCCTTCTCTCCCTCCACCTCTCTCTCTCCTCCTTTCCCTCCATCTCTCTCTTTCCTCCTCTCCCTCCATTTCTCTCTCTCCTCCTCTCCCTCCATCTCTCTCTCCTCCTCCTCTCCCCTCCATCTCTCTCTCCTCCTCTCCCTCGTTCTCTCTCTCCTCCTCTGCTTTCATCTCTCTGTGTCTACTCCTCTCCCTCCATCTCTCTCCTCCCTCCCATTTCTCTCTCTCTCCTCCTCTCCCTCCATCTCTCTCTCTGCTCCTCTCCCTCCATCTCTCTCTTTCTCCTCCTTTCCCTTCATCTCTCTCTCTCTCTCTCTCTCCTCCTCTCCCTTCATCTCTCTCTCTCCTCCTCTCCCTTCATCTCTTTCTCTCTCCTCTCCCTCCATCTCTCTCTCCTCCTCTCTCTCCATCTCTCTGTCTTTCCTCCTCTCCCTGCACCTCTCCTCCTCTCCCTCCGTCTCTCTCTTCCTCTCCCTCTATCTCTCACTCTCTCTCTCCTCTCCCTCCATCTCTTACTCTCTCCTCCTCACCCTCCATCTCTCACTCTCTCCTCCTCACCCTCCATCTCTCACTCTCTCCTCCTCACCCTCCATCTCTCTCTCCTCCTCCTCTCCCTTCATCTCTCACTCTCTCCTCCACTCCCTCCATCTCTCACTCTCTCCCCCCCCTCTTCCTCCATCTCTCACTCTCTTCTCCTTTCCCTCCATCTCTCTCTCTCTCTCTCTCTCTCTCTCTCTCTCTCTCTCAAATCTCTCCTCCTCTCCCTCCATCTCTCACTCTCTCCCCTCCTCTCCCCTTCTCCCTCCATCTCTCCCTCTCTCTTCCTCTCCCTCCATCTCTCACTCTCTCCTCCTCTCCCTCCATCTCTCCTCCTCTCCCCTTCTCCCTCCATCTCTCACTCTCTCCTCCTCTCCCCTTCTCCCTCCATCTCTCACTCTCTCCTCCTCTCCCTCCATCTCTTCCTCTCCCTCCATCTCTCACTCTCTCCTCTTCTCCCTCCATCTCTTCCTCTCCCTCCATCTCTCACTCTCTCCTCCTCTCCCTCCATCTCTCCTCCTCTCCCCGTCTCTCTCCATCTCTCACTCTCTCCTCCTCTCCCCTTCTCCCTCCACCTCTCTCTCTCCTCCTCTCCCTCCATCTCTCTCTCTCTCTCTCCTCCTCTCCCTCCATCTCTCACTCTCTCCTCCTCTCCCTCCATCTCTCCCTCTATCCTCCTCTCCCTCCATCTCTCACTCTCTCCTCCTCTCCCTCCATCTCTCCTCCTCTCCCTCCATCTCTCCTCCTCTCCCCTTCTCCCTCCATCTCTCACTCTCTCCTCCTCTCCCTCCATCTCTCACTCTCTCCTGCTCTCCCTCCATCTCTCACTCTCTCCTCCTCTCCCTCCATCTCTCCCTCTATCCTCCTCTCCCTCCATCTCTCACTCTCTCCTCCTCTCCCTCCATCTCTCACTCTCTCCTCCTCTCCCTCCATCTCTCCTCCTCTCCCCTTCTCCCTCCATCTCTCACTTTCTCCTCCTCTCCCTCCATTTCTCACTCTCTCTCCTCCTCTCCCTCCATCTCTCACTCTCTCCTCCTCTCCCTCCATATCTCACTCTCTCCTCCTCTCCCTCCATCTCTCACTCTCTCCTCCTCTCCCTCCATCTCTCCCTCTATCCTCCTCTCCCTCCATCTCTCACTCTCTCCTCCTCTCCCTCCATCTCTCACTCTCTCCTCCTCTCCCTCCATTTCTCTCTCTCTCTTTCCTCCTCTCCCTCCATCTCTCCATCCTTTCTCTCATGCTCTCCTTTTTTCTTCTTGCTACCCCCCCCTCCCCCCTTTCTAGGAAGTTTCCAGGCTGTAGAATTTTGTACCAAATTGAAGGTATAACATTTACTTCATTACAAACAACTTTCTTATTGAAGAAGAAATAAATCGAACAGCCGCCACACACAGAGAATTCCCGACTACAGACGATTGTCCCCATAACAATGACATACGGGAGGGTCATAGAGTTGGGTGACCCCTGAAGAAGTCGGGGGCCCCAAGCCATGATGAAGCAGACTAGACAAGCCATAGCTCAGCTCAGTCCATTGACACGCTGCGACGGTGACGCCGGATTTTCTGGTCTGATTGGTGAATTGTGTTTGGAACTTCTATACCGGAAGAAACATTTTCTGCATCATTTCCATCCCAAGTGAACTGTGATAAGGAGATAATAAGCCGATCGTTTCTGCTCAGCGAGATTTGTAGAATTTCTACTGACTTGGGGCCTCCTGTGCTGAGCGAGCATCTGACAACGCATAACGCCTGTGTCAGCATTGTGCCGAATGGCAGTCATATGGGCTGATTGCTGTATACACAGAAATATAACCGCGTTAACCCATCAAGTGCCGGATATGGGGGTTGGATGGGGTAGAGAATGGTTACAGCCATCTGTGTCCCACCGGAGAGAATGACCTTCTCTTCCTGTCCCATAAACACAACAGGAAGTGAGAGGAAATCCCTCCAAAGTAAAGTTGGCCACACACAGGTAGATTTTCCATTGAATGTTGGTTTGGAAATTCTGAAAAATCTATCGTCAGAACCAGAGCTTTTATGTCCTCAAAAAACAGGTGCAGGAACTTCTCATGTCTGAGTCTTTTTTGTCTATACCCCCCCTATCCACCTCCGAGTTCTGTTCCTTGGTTCCACCCCCTACCCACCTCTGAGCACCGCTCCTTGGTTCCACCCCCTACCCACCTCTGAGCACCACTCCTTGGTTCCACCCCCTACCCACCTCTGAGCACTGTCCCTGGGTTCCACCCCCTACCCACCTCTGAGCACTGTCCCTTGGTTCCACCCCCTACCCACCTCTGAGCACTGTCCCTTGGTTCCACCCCCTACCCACCTCTGAGCACCGTTCCTTGGTTCCCCCCCTACCCACCTTCAAGCACTGTCCCTTGGTTCCACCCCCTACCCACCTCTGAGCACCGCTCCTTGGTTCCACCCCCTACCCACCTCTGAGCACCGTCCCTTGTTTCCACCCCCTACCCACCTCTAAGCACCGTCCCTTGGTTCCACCCCCTACCCACCTCTGAGCACCGTCCCTTGGTTCCACCCCCTACCCACCTCCGAGCACCGTTCCTTGGTTCCACCCCCTACCCACCTCCGAGCACCGTTCCTTGGTTCCACCCCCCTACCCACCTCCGAGCACCGTTCCTTGGTTCCACCCCCTACCCACCTCCGAGCACCGTTCCTTGGTTCCACCCCCTACCCACCTCCGAGCACCGTTCCTTGGTTCCACCCCCTACCCACCTCCGAGCACCGTCCCTTGGTTCCACCCCCTACCCACCTCCGAGCACCGTTCCTTGGTTCCACCCCCTACCCACCTCCGAGCAGCCCGTCCCTTGGTTCCACCCCCTACCCACCTCCGAGCACCGTCCCTTGGTTCCACCCCCTACCCACCTCCGAGCACCGTTCCTTGGTTCCACCCCCTACCCACCTCCGAGCACCGTGCTTGGTTCCACCCCCTACCCACCTCCGAGCACCGTCCCTTGGTTCCACCCCCTACCCCCCTACCTCCGAGCACCGTTCCCTTGGTTCCACCCCCCTACCCACCTCCGAGCACCGTCCCTTGGTTCCACCCCCTACCCACCTCCCGAGCACCGTCCTTGGTTCCACCCCCTACCCACCTCCGAGCACCGTTCCTTGGTTCCACCCCCTACCCACCTCCGAGCACCGTTCCTTGGTTCCACCCCCTACCCACCTCCGAGCACCGTTCCTTGGTTCCACCCCCTACCCACCTCCGAGCACCGTTCCTTGGTTCTACCCCCTACCCACCTCCGAGCACCGTCCCTTGGTTCCACCCCCTACCCACCTCCGAGCACCGTTCCTTGGTTCCACCCCCTACCCACCTCCGAGCACCGTTCCTTGGTTCCACCCCCTACCCACCTCCGAGCACCGTTCCTCAGTCCCACCACCTCCGAGCACCGTTCCTCAGTCCCACCACCTCCGAGCACCTTACGTGTGAACAGGACTGTAAGGCGGCCACTTTATTTAGTGATGGGGATTTGATCGGCATACATTTTGAAGGAAGTGTAAATGAGGCCTAAATATGGGGGTGCAATCTGATCTTTGCTGTAGACGGGGGATGACATGAGGATGGCCTTCTTATTGAGCCGCCGTTCCTTCCATCACCCACCCACCAATCTGATCTGTGGGTGATTGGTGTCACTCGTGTCATACGTGTCATACAATATCATCAGACATGATCTCACCCAGCCTTGGGCAATCATTCCGTGTCATGTGGGTGGAGACCAGCCTGCAGCACGCTACCGGAGTCTACATTTAGCATTTTATTTTTAGATTCAATTACATTGTATTCGGTGGAATTTCCTCTCCTGGCTGAAAGAACACTTTTCTGTTGGTTGTTTTTTTTGAGTCCTCCAGCACCCGGGACGTTTTACAGCGGCTGTTCCCCTCCCCTCCCCCCTCCAGCATGTTCTCCTATGTGTCCGTACACACAGACTGGAATGCACACTGGGGGGGGGGGGGGGCAGTTAGTCTCCATGCACACTGGGGGGGGGGGGCAGTTAGTTAGTCTCCATGCACACTGGGGGGGGGGCAGTTAGTCTCCATACACACTGGGGGGGGGGGCAGTTAGTCTCCATGCACACTGGGGGGGGGCATTAGTCAGTGGGGGGGGGGCAGTTTGTCTCCATACACACTGGGGGGGGCAGTTAGTCTCCATACACACTGGGGGGGGGGGGCAGTTAGTCTCCATGCACACTGGGGGGGGGGCAGTTAGTCTCCATGCACACTGGGGGGGGGGGCAGTTAGTCTCCATACACACTGGGGGGGGGCAGTTAGTCTCCATGCACACTGGGGGGGGGCAGTTAGTTCCATGCACACTGGGGGGGGGCAGTTAGTTTCCATGCACACTGGGGGGGGGCAGTTAGTCTCCATGCACACTGGGGGAGGGCATTAGTCTCCATGCACACTGGGGGGGGCAGTTTGTCTCCATGCACACTGGGGGGGGGCAGTTAGTCTCCATGCACATGCAGACTGGGGGGGGGGCAGTTAGTCTCCATGCACACTGGGGGGCAGTTAGTCTCCATGCACACTAGGGGGGGCAGTTAGTCTCCATGCACACTGGGGGGGCAGTTAGTCTCCATGCACTCCATGCACACTGGGGGGGGCCAGTTAGTCTCCATGCACACTGGGGGGGGGCAGTTAGTCTCCATGCACACTGGGGGGGGCAGTTAGTCTCCATGCACACTGGGGGGGGGGCAGTTAGTCTCCATGCACACTGGGGGGGGGGGGGGGGGCAGTTAGTCTCCATGCACACTGGGGGGGGGGGCAGTTAGTCTCCATGCACACTGGGGGGGGCAGTTAGTCTCCATGCACACTGGGGGGGGGGGGCAGTTAGTCTCCATGCACACTGGGGGGGGCAGTTAGTCTCCATACACACTGGGGGGGGGCAGTTAGTCTCCATACACACTGGGGGGGGGGCAGTTAGTCTCCATGCACACTGGGGGGGGGCAGTTAGTCTCCATGCACACTGGGGGGGGGGGGGGCATTTCAATAACGCCGGTAACATTAGCTGTGTAAAGTTCTTTTTATTTAGCGTTTAGCTGAGTTTTTCTGCGTTTGCGGTTTTTAGCTTCCTTTGCTAAAAAAAATGCTGAAAAATGCCAGTTTGCTGCGGTAGTCCTCACGCTTGACGTTTTTACAGCGGCTTCACAGTCGGGTGCCCACTGAGCATGTGCGAGAAGCGCTGCACTTTGTGAATGGTCCTGTAGTCTTCTGGGACCTGGGGAGGGAGGGGGGGGACAACTTCTGCTTCCGTTCGCCTAGGCAATCGCAGCAGAAGTGGGAGCGGGTACCTGTCAAATTCGGGGATACCCTCCCCTCCCCCGCTCCTCAAAGGTCCGCAGTCTCTGGTCATCTCCTGTTACTGTGTCCGCAGTCTCTGGTCATCTCCTGTACTATGTCCGCAGTCTCTGGTCATCTCCTGTACCATGTCTGCAGTCTCTGGTCATCTCCTGTACTGTGTCCGCAGTCTCTGGTCATCCCCTGTACTGTGTCCGCAGTCTCTGGTCATCTCCTGTACTATGTCCGCAGTCTCTGGTCATCCCCTGTACTGTGTCTGCAGTCTCTGGTCATCCCCTGTACTGTGTCCGCAGTCTCTGGTCATCTCCTGTACTGTGTCCGCAGTCTCTGGTCATCTCCTGTACTATGTCCGCAGTCTCTGGTCATCTCCTGTACTGTGTCTGCAGTCTCTGGTCATCTCCTGTACTGTGTCCGCAGTCTCTGGTCATCTCCTGTACTGTGTCCGCAGTCTCTGGTCATCTCCTGTACTGTGTCCGCAGTCTCCGGTCATCCCCTGTTCTATGTCCGCAGTCTCTGGTCATCTCCTGTACCGTGTCCGCAGTCTCCGGTCATCCCCTGTAATATGTCCGCAGTCTCTGGTCATCTCCTGTACCGTGTCCGCAGTCTCTGGTCATCTCCTGTACTATGTCCGCAGTCTCTGGTCATCTCCTGTACTGTGTCCGCAGTCTCTGGTCATCTCCTGTACCGTGTCCGCAGTCTCTGGTCATCTCCTGTACTGTGTCCGCAGTCTCTGATCATCTCCTGTACTATGTCTGCAGTCTCTGGTCATCTCCTGTACTATGTCCGCAGTCTCTGGTCATCTCCTGTACTGTGTCCGCAGTCTCTCCGGTCATCTCCTGTACTGTGTCCGCAGTCTCCGGTCATCTCCTGTACCGTGTCCGCAGTCTCTGGTCATCTCCTGTTCTATGTCCGCAGTCTCTGGTCATCTCCTGTACCGTGTCCGCAGTCTCTGGTCATCTCCTGTATTACTGTATTATGTCTGCAGTCCATTGGTTCAGAATATTTTCTTTCTTGTTTTCCTCCGCTAATACCTAGGTGCGTCTTATGGTCAGGTGCCTTATGGTCAGGTGTGTCTTATGGTCAGGTGCCTCTTATGGTCAGGTGCGTCTTATGGTCAGGTGCGTCTTATGGTCAGGTGCGTCTTATGGTCAGGTGCGTCTTATGGTCAGGTGCCTCTTATGGTCAGGTGCGTCTTATGGTCAGGTGCGTCTTATGGTCAGGTGCCTCTTATGGTCAGGTGCCTCTTATGGTCAGGTGCCTCTTATGGTCAGGTGCGTCTTATGGTCAGGTGCCTCTTATGGTCAGGTGCGTCTTATGGTCAGGTGCGTCTTATGGTCAGGTGCCTCTTTATGGTCAGGTGCGTCTTATGGTCAGGTGCCTCTTATGGTCAGGTGCGTCTTATGGTCAGGTGCGTCTTATGGTCAGGTGCGTCATATGGTCAGGTGCGTCATTTATGGTCAGGTGCGTCTTATGGTCAGGTGCCTCTTATGGTCAGGTGCGTCTTATGGTCAGGTGCCTCTTATGGTCAGGTGCGTCTTATGATCAGGTGCGTCTTATGGTCAGGTGCGTCTTATGGTCAGGTGGCTCTTATGGTCAGGTGCCTCTTATGGTCAGGTGCGCGCTTATGGTCAGGTGTGTCTTATGGTCAGGTGCGTCTTATGGTCAGGTGCGTCTTATGGTCAGGTGGCTCTTATGGTCAGGTGCGTCTTATGGTCAGGTGGCTCTTATGGTCAGGTGCGTTTTATGGTCAGGTGCGTTTTATGGTCAGGTGCGTCTTATGGTCAGGTGCCTCTTATGGTCAGGTGCGTTTTATGGTCAGGTGCGTCTTATGGTCAGGTGTGCCTTATGGTCAGGTGCGTCTTATGGTCAGGTGCGTCTTATGGTCAGGTGCGTCTTATGGTCAGGTGCCTCTTACGGTCAGGTGCGTTTTATGGTCAGGTGGCTTATGGTCAGGTGCGTCTTATGGTCAGGTGTGTCTTATGGTCAGGTGGCTTCTTATGGTCAGGTGCGTCTTATGGTCAGGTGGCTTATGGTCAGGTGCGTCTTATGGTCAGGTGCGTCTTATGTCTTATGGTCAGGTGGCTTTATGGTCAGGTGCGTCTTATGGTCAGGGTGCAGCTTATGGTCAGGTGCGTCTTATGGTCAGGTGCGTCTTATGGTCAGGTGCGTCTTATGGTCAGGTGCGCCTTATGGTCAGGTGCGTCTTATGGTCAGGTGCGTTTTATGGTCAGGTGCGTTTTATGGTCAGGTGCCTCTTATGGTCAGGTGGCTCTTATGGTCAGGTGCCTCTTATGGTCAGGTGCCTCTTATGGTCAGGTGCGTCTCTTATGGTCAGGTGCGTCTTATGGTCAGGTGCCTCTTATGGTCAGGTGCCTCTTATGGTCAGGTGCGTCTTATGGTCAGGTGCCTTATGGTCAGGTGCCTCTTATGGTCAGGTGCCTCTTATGGTCAGGTGCGTCTTATGGTCAGGTGCCTCTTATGGTCAGGTGCGTTTTATGGTCAGGTGCGTTTTATGGTCAGGTGCGTCTTAGGGAGCGTAATAAATGCTGTACATTGAATCTCCCTCCCTATTTACTAATACTAGCAGCAGAAGGATTACATGCAGTCCACGCCGGCCGAGAGGGGAGTTCCCCTTTAAGGATCCTTCCTATGAAGGTTTGTGGTTTATTATTGGGCTGCTCTTTGCACTGAGATGTGATTGTTCTCCTTCGGGTCGGTTTATTTTCTCTGACTCGTCAGGTTTGTGCTGCCGCTGTGGGAGGGATCTGAAGGGGATAATTACAGGTGACAGTTGGATGGTTCGGCTCCCAGCCAAGAAAACAAAGGGACTGGAATAGGATTTTGTTTATCAGTTCAGATAAAGCCGCCGGCTGCAGAGCCGCTGGGAGATATCGGCAAAGTATAAGGGTCACCTAATCTCGCCCCTCCCCAGCAGGACACACTCACCTTTCCTCCTCTCCACTCCTCCATTCAGCTGGTGGGATGCAATACCCAATACATAGGTGATGGTGCTGCAGCCAGGTGATTGGCCCAGCTCTGTCACATGAGGATGGGCGTGCAATCTTCAGCC